AAAAGAAAAGTCTAGAATAATGTATGGGGCAAAAAAAAAAAAGAAAAGGAAAAAAGCTAAAACGTGTTATTCCAGTCTGACTGAAACGGAAATCCCCCCTCGGTAACAAAGTGTAACTTAAGCGTTCGCACGCACACAAACACACAAACGCACCAACGCTGGTTTCCTGGGGCTGTTTGGCTGATGAATAGAGGAGGAGCTAAAAATAACCGGCCGGCACTAATGAGGTCATGTGTGATGTACAGTAGGACTCTGAACACACCGAACACACTCAGAGCCACCAGACCTCGGTAGATTCCCCTGAAAAAGCATCCGGGATGTAAACGTTCCCGTTCAGAGGTTTATGGAGGCAGTAGAGCCTCAACAGGTAGCAGGTTTGGGAGAGCTCATTACTTTTAATGGAGACGCTAATGCTAACATTTATACGCACACACACCATTAAAAAACGCACAAAAAGTTGCACGTGCTTAAATACACACCATGACAAATGGACCGATCTGCAAACAATTCAAAGTTACAAAAGAAATGTCCTCCATTTTAACCAGGTTTTTTTTTCTTATTACTCAATACTTTAAATGGAGACGCTACTGCTAATCTTTACACACACACACACACACCGTTAAAAACGCACAAAAAGTTGTGCACCGAGCTCCGAAAAACCATGAAAAACTAGCAGACTATTCAAATTACACCAGAAATTATCTGAAAAACTAACCGATCTGCAAACAATTCAAAATTACAAAAGAAATTATCTCTATTTTAACCAGGCTTTTTTTCTCATTACTCATGACTTTTAATGGAGATGCTACTGCTAACCTTTACACTCACACACACACCATTTAAAACGCACAAAAAGTTGAACGTGCTTAAATACACACCATGACAAACGGACCGATCTGCAAACAATTCAAAGTTACAAAAGAAATGTCCTCCATTTTAACCAGGTTTTTTTTTCTTATTACTCAATACTTTAAATGGAGACGCTACTGCTAATCTTTACACACACACACACACACACCATTAAAAACGCACAAA